CTGCGCCTCCAAGCGCCTAGCTTAGCTTAGCTTAAGTTAGTTACAAAACGTCAACGCATGAAATAAACGCCCGGCCGGTCCGCGCTATACCCGAAATTTCCAAGTAATTTTATTTTCGCGATCGCCGAGTGTGTTATTTCTTGCCCCCACAGCTTAACCCCGCCAGCCGTCACAGACCAGGAGTTTTGCTGCCTTCAAGAAGGACGCCCCGCCACTTCAATAACGACTCCGCTTATAGTGTCCGTCCGGGTTGTGCAACGAAAACTCGATGGTTTGGTTGGTCCCCATACAAACTTATATGAAAGGGCCTCCGCTTAGAGCGTTTCCGCTTTTAGCGACAAACCACTTATACGAACGAAATTTTCAAGAAAATTGAAAAATTTTACCGGATATTGCGTCGTGCAGAAAAAATAACATTGCAATAGTGCCAAATTTAAGCGTCAAAACACGCTGTGAGAAATGTATGTATGTATTTATTAGTGATCGGCACACGAAGGATCTTACACTGTCACTACTCTTTGTTAGTTTTAGCTGTCGCCTTAACAACGTTGCTGCGAGAGAGGGAGAGAGAAAATCGAAGTGCAATGCCGACGTCACACTGCGTGTGCAGACCTCATAGCCTATTCCATGAGATGTCCCGCTATAATTTTAGTTTTTTCTGCTTTTTTCCGAGTAAAACTAAAAGCGTAAATTCGGCAAATGCAAAATATGCAATAATAAGCTCACTCAGTTTTTAGTATTATGAGGAACCCATGCTTTTGAATTAAATTTATTAAATTTTTAGTTTTAATTAAAAAATTAATTTGATTTATTTTAAAAACCTATTACGAAAACGGCAACCATAAATAAACAAAAAAAAATATGATTTTTTGTTCCTTTTGCTTAGTGCGTCTTCCGGGTATAACGACGAAAAATCGTCGGTCCCTTGAAAGTCGCTATAACCGGATTCTACTGTATTGACAACTATAAGCATGGTCTGAGAGGGAGGTCTCTTCTATAGACTGCGGTTGGATTAACGTTGAGGGTGTTATAACTACAATAAAAATAGTCATTTTTTTTTTTTTTTTTTTTTTTTTCTAACCCCTTTATTTATTACATCTATTCAATAGAATATTAAGTAATTGTTTTGGAAGACAACATGTGGGCTTAACTTATTACCAACACCATTGTGTTGGTATAACTTTTTTAATTTCGCTTATTTTTATTTACTTAATTTTATTCTGTTAATGGTGCGCTAATGCTGTGGGAGTTCTCCCTTTTAGTCTTCGTGGTTGTGCTTCTCTTCTCGGAATGTCTCTTAGGCTATGATTCTGGTGCGCAAGTAATTTTTGGATGTGGATAATGCAATTCTGCTTAATTATCTTTGAGATCGTCTGTATTCTTAGCTCTCTGTGGATGTGGTCATTTGTTGTGTATCTGTCTGAGTTAGTTAATATTCTTAATATTTTCGACTGGGCTCTTTGTATATCCATGTTGTCAAGTAATATCTCCCTGAATAGATTCCAGTTCGTTTTGTGGTTGTGGCTCGGAGTGTTGCTTGTCAGGTCTGGTGTGCTTTTTATAGTTACTAAGATTGGTGAGTGGTCTGATGATAGGTCCAGGCTTGACTTTATTTTTATGTTTGGTGTGTCAAGTTTTTGGTAATGCAAAAGTCAATCAAGTTGGGAAGTTTTTTTGTATCAGTTGGCCAGTATGTTGGCTCTCCTGTACTTATTGTACGGCTATTATTGGCTTTGATAGCTTCGTAAAGTTGTCTTTCCTTTGCATTTGTCAGGCGCGATCCCCACATGGCATTCTTGCCGTTGTAGTCTCCTCCCGCCAGGTATCGATTCCCAAGCGAATTTAGGTAGTCTAGGTATTGCTCTTTCGTGTTATTAAATTTGGGTGGGCAGTAAACAGCCGAGATGTTAAGTTGTCCAAACTGGTCCGAAATTGTTATTGTCGTGGCTTGTATGTTTGCAGCCTTATAGCCTTCTACTTCTGCATATTTTAGGTCATTTTTGATTATGATTGCTGTGCCTCCAAGGGCTTTGTTGTCTGGATGGTTTGTGAAGAATATGTTATAGTCAAGAATGCTGATGTATGTTTTGTCTGTGGCGTGGGTCTCTGAAATTAGCATTATGTCAATCTGGTTTTCTTGTAGAAAGCTCTTTATTTCTAGGATATGGCGCGATAGTCCATTTGCATTCCAGACTGCGATAATCAAATTATTGTTTGTCAAGTTTGGATACAAGTATGGTAACTATGTTCATCATGCTTGACATCTGTGCAATCAGTTGTTTCATAAGTGTCTTCAGTACTTGCATGTCCTCTTGTTGTTGGTTATTGTTTGTTGGAATGGACGGCTCATCATTGTGTATGAAGGTTTGGTGGGTTGATGTTGGAGGTTTGTTTTTTTGTAGGGCTTCTGCGTATGATATTTTAGGATTGATCAGGTCAGGTGTACTTTTTGTGGCAATTTCGGGTGGGGTCTGGATTTGTGGTATTTCTTTTTGCCGGAGACTTGGATATTTTTTAAGTTGGAGGGCTTTGTAGACCATACAACCTTTATAGGTGTGGTTCTCGCTACAGAGAGCGCATTTTATTTGGCTCTTGTCAGAGTTGGTTATTTGTAGGTGGCAGTTGGCTGATTGGTGTTTACCAGCGCATTTTACGCAAATGGGATCTCTCGTACAGTAATTTCTTGTGTGTCCGTATTTTTGGCAGTTTGTACATTGCGGTATTATACGTTTTTGGTGCGGTGGTTCAAAAGTAACTTTGCAGTGTAATAGATGGCTTATTTTGTATATGTCTTTATTGTTATTTTGCCATTTAAGTTCAATTGAGAAGAGGGGTAGCAGCTTTTTTTGTGTCATTGCGTTGAATGTTGTGGATGTTTAGTACTGTATGCCCAAGGTCGGCTAGTTCGTTAATTATTTCGTTTTTTTCGGTAGCATGATGTACATGGCGGAGTATTACTTTAAATCCTCTCTGATCTTTCGGTCTGTACGTGTAAAAAGATAAAGAGGCAATCTTTAAGCAACTTATGGATGTTTGTGTAATAGATGGTGTATAGAGTGTATACTTTCTTGCGGTTGTATTTTTATTTCGTTCGTTGAGAGTGCTTTTAGCTCGAGTTTTGTCTCGGGCAGTGAGTTTAGTGCAGTTGTTAGTGCGTGGATATTTTCTACATTTTGTACGTAGATCGGTGGAGGTTTGGGTTTTCGCTGTGGTATTTGCGCGATTAGGTTCCGGTCTGTCCCATTGTCGCTTTGAGTTTCATCGTCTTGCTCATGCGCCAGCAACTCAAAGCGGTTGTTTGAGCGTGGTTCTGCTAGCCAATACTCTTTGAGTGTTTTTTGAGTGGCTCTTTGGTTTTTACTCCGTTGTTTTTTGGTTGAGTTCGTTTGCTCGTTTACTTGTCCAGGCGACTGTTTGTCACGAGTCCGTTTAAGGCTTTGTTGGTTTAATTCGGTAAATGTTGTTGTTATAGAACAGGACGATCTAGAGGAGTAGCAGTAGTAGTTGTTGTTGTTAGGGGAGCTGTCGTTGTTGTAGTTGTTGCAGATGTTGTGGAGAGTGGCAGAGACGATGTTAAAAGCTTGGAGTTTATTTGTTTGGTACTTGCTGCGGTATTGGATATCGTTGTTGGTAATTTTGTGGGTTGTGTTGACGTTGAGGTTGGCGGGAGAGTAGAGAGCGGGGGCAGCGGTGAGGTGCATTGCTCGCTCCAAGGTAATTGCTCCATAGGGAGAGCGGCTGGTGTGTTTTGCGTTGCTTGTAAAAGCGCGGGAGAGCAAGAGCGTGCTCTCTGAGGTTGCACTGAGAGGGTGCTATGTGCACTGTTGTTGTCGGCGCTTGACTTTATTGTAAAGTAAGCGTTGTTGATGCTTGAGCGAGGGCGCGCGCTCTGAGTTTGAGCGCAACGCTCACTCATTTTTGTTTGGAGCTTGCTTTTTTGTTTATGATAGGTTTAATAAGGTAAGCACAGGGTTTTTTTTTGTGTGGGAAAGCGTCTTTTCGCTGGGGTTTGTTGGGTTCACTAGTGGGCCTATATTTTCGCAGTTGGATGCTGGTAAAATAAGAGTTTTCACTGAGCGATTGAAAAACACGTCCATACGCGGCGGCGTTCGAACTCGAATTTTCTAAAGCCCTTTTCCGATTACAGCTAGATAAACTTCGCAAACTATCGCACATTCCTACAAAATATCTTATAAAAACCTTTCTTAACATTTGCCCAAAAACGTGTAGGATAAGTCATTTGAAAATTTACTAACATTACAAAAAAATTAGTCAATTAATCAATTAATCAGTTTAGTTGGCGATATGCAAAAAACTTTCCCGGAAGTATAATCCCGGCGTTTGTCATCATCTAGTAACCCAAATGTCTTACAGACCAATTAAAATGGGACATGAGTGTTAATATTTTGCAGTCTATGAATGAGGTTGGGCCTGGTACTTTATTATGAAGAAGTCGTAGGTAATAGCTTTTACTATTTTCGGTTGTACTTCCAGGCGAACGTGGCTACCTCGACCCAACTAGATCTATTCTACCCCCTATCTGAGCTTAAAGCTCAGCCATCAACCCGGCTCCTCCGATAAAGTCAAGGAGCTTTGTTGGTCGATGCTTCCGGAGGTCCCAAGTGGTAAGGGACCTGGAACCGAGGGTTCTTCTTCTCAGGCTACTTAGTGCTGGGCAGTCTAATATTATGTGTAGGGAGGTTTCATCCTCGCTATTACAGAATCTGCATGTCTTGCTGTTCACAATCTCTATATTACCTAGTTTACTCCTTAGTCTATTTTATTTTTTACTTTACCTTTACTCATATGCAATATTTTTTTGTAAAATCCATATGCACATGTGCACTGTTGCAGAAAATAATCTGCAAGAATTATTTAATAATAATACAACAATGTATTATTATTTGAAATTAAAATGGTTCTTGTAAAATATTTTGAGCTATATTGATGTCAATTTTAGTTGCTATTATTAAAAATCTTTAACCATTTTGTCATTTCAGAATTTATTCGTAAAAAATTACCATTTAAAATTGTTCAACTCGTCAATGATAACAATTTAAATGATTTTCTGGGTGGATGGATGGACAACAAAGTAAGAGCTCTAATATTTGAACCTTATAGGTTAATAAGGCTCCGGTACCTACTCACTGCATTTGAGTTTTACGACCGTGTTGCATTTGGGTAAGATACGCATTTTGTTTGTTTAGCATACAAATTAAACATTTAATTATTGTTATCCTTATCAGTATCGCTAGCGAAGAGTAGGTTTGAAAATTTAGCCAACGGGTCATCATGCTTGCTCTTGCCTTCATATTTAATTCTTATTTAAATTTCGCACCACCATAAAGGTAGGGGTTTTGGTGTCTTTTTTTGGTTTTTTTATTTAGGCTTAGGGCAGACTCAATTAAACACAATTTATTAATCGTTACTGCATTAATATTAGGTGAGAAGATATCGACGCATTTTCGCGAATGTATCGTATGTTGAAAAATCCAATTTTACAGGAGAAGCTTTTTTTGAAGTGAAAACTTCTTTAGCGGCGCTGAGCAGGGTAAAAACATTCAAACTCGCGTCAGGGTTCCGTTATGCTGATCGAAAAAGCGTAAGATCGAGGGAAAGGGAGAGGAACTAGTATCTCCCACTCTTTCTACCGTGCCTGAGTCATGGTACAATTATACAAGGTAGTCTCGTCGACTGCAAAATCGCTCGGGTTTCTTCCCCTATGGTTCAGTGCGCTCGGGATTTCGAAGTGAGAGGTTGTCCGCGGACGATTTTTTCTCAAAACGTTAACCCTTGTGTGCTTGTGAAAAATACTTGTTGCAATTATTGCAGCAAGCACATATAAGGCGTAACATGTAATATTGCAGAAAAATATTTTGAAATGTGAGCAATATGGGAGCGAGTCCTGAAGGGCAGCTTCGTGTAAAAACCAAAAATTTCGGAAAAATTAATACTCATGGTCATATAACAGTCCTTTTTAAACCCCGTGCACAGCATAAGGGTAAAACGACATCATCTTCTTCTGTTTCTTTCGCACTTACGGGAAAACACCCTCTCACTCGCACTCATTGTAGTGCCCAATAGGGGGGAAAAAAAAAGCCGACGAGACTACCTTGTACTTACACTTACATAAATAGGTTCGAATCAAAACTGTTTGTTTCTTACTTCAGTTATCATAAACCAATTGTATCAGTTGTAAAAATTTGCGATGATGATTCTGGTAATAACGATGGTGTAAAAGTCGTTGAAATTATAGATGGAAGTTGATTTTTCTGAGAGATAAAATTTAATGTAATATATACAGGCAGGCTTCGGTTTTCACTTTCACAAGATTCTCTCGTTCTCGTTTTTGAAAACGAGAATTAATGCTCCCGTTTTCATTTTCACAAGACTTTTTCGTTTTCAAAAACGGGCAAGTTTTTTTTGTCGAAATGAAAAGTAAATGCCTTTTTCTACATTAAATCGGTTCTTAATTGCAAAAGGAAAAAAAAAGTTGACTCCTTGGTCTATTGATGTTCATTTCACATCATCAGTAGGTCAATCTAATTCGTATTTATTTTTTAAATAATTATTTTCTGACCCCACCTTGATTTCATACATAAAATATTTGCCGTCGGCAACAACAAATTTCGTTTTGCTAAGGGGCCGATAAATCTATTGCCAAAAGCTATCGTCAATGCTGCCGTACTTGTAGTGGAACGAAACACCCACTTAAAAATACTTATAAAATGAAAACGAAGAAAAAAATATTTGTAAAGAAAAGTTAAATAAGCTTTTTATAAATAAATATGATTAATTTAGTTTCTTAAATGGCAAAAGTGCAGTAAAAAAGTGGTTGAGAATAGTGGAATGAAAGCTGCAAAAAGGTGGCAGCCCCTTATTGTGGGAAACAGCTGATATCTAATGGAGGCTTATTTGAACTTTTAAAATTGTAAGTAAGACAACTTAATTTACCGATCGTCAGACATATTAAAAACACATGTGCTGCATCTAAAATGTCTCGATTTTCTTAAATCAATCAATTTCTGCCTTCTTTTGGCTTCAAAACAGGCAATTGAAAATATAAAAGGCATTTTTTCGCGTTGTTTACTTTTGACCAAAAAAACTAGAAAAAAAAGTGAAAACCGGAGCCTGCCTGATAAATAACGATATAATATTATAAATAACAACATATAAATTGCCATTGCCAATAAATAAACATTGTATTCTACCTCTCTCATAAATGATAGTACTTTTTTACTTATAATTAAACACAACGTTAATATTGAAGTTTTCACTTCTGCCGGCACTCCCGAAGTGCTACCGGTGTTTTTTTTATTTAATCTCTTAGGAGCACTGTACCATACGATAAAATTGAAACTAAATTTTTATCGGAACTATAGGGTTTTCCGTTATAATATTTCACAGGGTAGTGAGACATAAGTTGCCTAATAATTTTGCATTAACATCCCAATTCGAAAAAAAGCGACATACGATACTTTCGCGGAAATGCGTCGATATGTTAGGGAACACCTGCTGGACTATATCGCAAACTTCAAAATTATAATGTTTTATAAGAAACTTCATTACCAATAAATGATTTTTATTGACACAGGTCTGCCCTTATTATACCCTTGCAGAGCAAAAGGGTATTATACCGGCAGGCTCCGGTTTTCACTTTTTTTTCGTTTTCGTTTTTGGGCGAAAACGCACGTTTTCGTTTTAGGTGCTCCGATTTTCACAAGCTTTTTGTCATCGTTTCGTTATCGGAATGGTTAATTTCGTTTCTCACTGTTCAAACAGCTGACTTGTTTTGTTGGTCAAAAGTAAACAACGCGAAAAATGCCTTTTATATTTTCAATTACCTGTTTTAAAGCCATTTAAGAAACGAAATTAATCATATTTATTTATAAAAAGCTTACATTTCTTTACAAATATTTTTTTCTTTGTTTTCATTTTATAAGTATTTTTAAGTGGTTGTTTTGTTCTATTTACTACAAGTACGGCAGCATTGACGATAACTTTTGGCAATAGATTTATCGACCCCTTAGCAAAACGAAAGTTGTTGTTGCCGACGGCAAATATTTTATTTATGAAATTAAGATGGGGTCAGAAAAGAATGATTTAAAAAATAAATACGAATTAGATTGATCTACTGATGGTGTGAAATGAACATCAATAGACCAAAGAGTTAACTATTTTTTTCCTATTTTTTATGTTCGGAGCAGACAGCCAGCACCTAATTTTATGCACATGGGTGTAAGGAGTTAAAAGCCGCTCTTCAAGCCACTCTTTGTTTTATCTACATATGTTATCTATAATCGTCAAAGTGACAGTATAAAGAAGCCGCGCTTTCGGCTTATCTCACCTCACTCAAGCAATAAGTTATCTCGCATACATTGCTCGCAAATATCGAAAACGAAAACATAGAGTTGCAGCTCCAAAAAAACATACACTTAATTTAACTAAACCTATTCGTGCGTTTGGTTATTTACAAGGGTGGCATATTCGTCGTCTTCCCCACGAACAGCAATTAAGAACAGATTTTATGTAGAACAAGAAGAGAAGCTAGCTTCGGCAAGCCGAAGCTTATATACCCTTGCAGTCATCAAATACAGTGGTGGCCGTATTTGATGACTGCAGTCGGCAAGCCGAAGCTTATATACCCTTGCAGTCATCAAATACAGTGGTGGCCGTAAGTATTTTGTCAAAATAAAAGTGAAATATACTCGAAACCTAAACTTGCTTCTTTTAACTTTTGGTATCAATGGAAAGGTAGTTCAAATGCCGTTTGAATGATACCATACTTTTCTCAACTCATTCGATATTTATTGAAAAGGGCAATTTAAAAAAAAAAGTAAAAAAAACTTTTTCCCTCGGCTTCAAAACTAAAATTTTTGGATGCAAAAAGTTTCTTTAATCAAAAATAATAGGAACTGCAAAAAGAATTTTTCAAAAATAATTTTTCTTCTATTTTTTATGACTTTTTTGAAAATGACTAGAAATACGCATTTCAGCCATATTTTTCTCTTTTCCATACAAATTTTTTCCGACATTGTCACCTTCAAAAATCATAAAAAATAGAAGAAAAATTATTTTTGAAAAATTCTTTTTGCAGTTCCGATTATTTTTGAATAAAGAAACTTTTTGCATCCAAAAATTTTAGTTTTGAAGCCGAGGGAAAAAGTTTTTTTGACTTTTTTTTTTAAATTGCCCTTTTCAATAAATATCGAATGAGTTGAGAAAAGTATGGTATCATTCAAACGGCATTTGAATTACCTTTCCATTGATACCAAAAGTTAAAAGAAGCAAGTTAAGGTTTCGAGTATATTTTACTTTTATTTTGACAAAATACTTATGGCCACCACTGTATGTCGAACAAAATGCATAAAGGCTAAACAACATCGAAGCTAAGACGATTTTTCTGTTCATTTTCGATATTTTCGACTATAGATCATATGGGAGCTATATGATATAGTTGTTAGATTTTGATCAAATTTAATTCGTAATTCAAGAGTTGTTAGAAAACTTTATATTCTAAAAATCATGCTTATCTAATAAAAAACAACGATGTTATCATTATATTTCCGTTATTTCTATATAGATTTTTCTTTCCTATGGTAGCTATAAGATATAGCTGTCCGATTTTTATGAAACTTTTTCTCAATATTAGGGTTGTTAAAAAACTTGATATTTAAAAAATCATGCTCGTGGGATAAAAAAAAGATGTTATCAATTTATTTCCATTAATTCTATATATATTTTTCGATCTTTCCTATGGCAGCTATATGATAGAGTTGTCGGATTTTGATAAAATTTAATCCGAAATTCAATAATAATTAGAAAATGCCATATGGAAGAAAATTTTTTATTTCATTCTCTTGTATTGGAGCTATCCGATATAGTCGGCCGATCCGGCCCGATCCGAGTTATTGCACGCAGTTTATCAGTCGGAACGAGCCGGATCGGCCGACTATATCGGTTAGCTCCCATACGAGAGAATGAAATAAAAATTTCTCACGCCGTTGTTTATTAACAGATCAACTTGATTTCTTCCAGATGGCGTTTTCTAACTACTATTGAATTTCGGATTAAATTTTGTCAAAATCAGATAACTCTATTATATAGCTGCCATAGGAAGGATCTTAAATTATATACCTACATGTACTAGCTGACCCGGCAATCGTTGTTTTGCCACCAGA